AGCAGCGGGGCTCGTGAATCTGTGCAGAGTGAGTCAGGGTCTACCTCTCCTCCTCCTTCCAGAGCTCACCTCCCCACGGCCGGCTCCTACCACTGGCCCAACACGGGTCTCCACTTTGTGGTGAGAAGGGCAGTGACCGTCGAGATTGAATTCTGTGCCTGGGACCCATTCCTGGACACGATTGACCCCGAGGACAACTTGGTAGTTGCAGGACCGCTGTTTGACATCAAGGCCGAATCGGGAGCTGTGGAAGCTGTGTACCTGCCTCACTTTGTGTCCCTCCAAGGTAGGCAGAGGGAGAGTAGAGGGAGTTGATGGAGGGTGATAATGGCCTGCAAGGGGCTTCTGATGGGGATGCCCTGGGGAAGCAGCTGGGGGCTTCCTTAGACCAGCTAAGAGGTTAATGGAAATAGAGACAGATTTTTCTTCATTCCACTCTACTCTGACCTATCTTTTTTGGTCTCCCAGAACCATAATTATTTAAAAGTTGTCCTAAATAGAATTAGTCTCCAGAATAAAAATGACACCTAGTGTTATCTTTATGTATAGTGTGTCAACAGGCTACCATAGGAAACAAATGGTACACTCAGTAGACATTTTTTTTTTTGGTTGCTTAGTTTATTTTTACATCATTTTGTGCCTTTTTCCATCTCAGTTGTAATCCCCATGGGCTTCCCATCACTAAATCACCCATGGGCCATCACCATAGTCCAGTGCACTCTGCCCCCCCCCATTTTTTTATCCCATTCCCCACCCCACCCCCATAAAATGTCTCTGGTATAGAATTGTTCATTATTATTATTATTATTTTCTCGCCTGGTCCTTTATGCTCCTGCTATGAGTGAAACCATCCGGTATTTTTCTTTCTCTTTCTGGCTTATTTCACTAAGCATGATCCCTTCCATCTCCATCCATGTTGCTGCAAAAGGCATGATTTTATCTTTTTTGATTGCTGAGTAATATTCCATTGTCAGTAGAGATTCTTAAAGACACTTTTCAAAGACAAGAATATTTGCAAAGTAAGGCTACATGAGCTAACAAGGAATGTTTGTGTCCCTAGGGACTAGCAACCAATGGAAAGTCGTTACTATTCCTGTAGGCTTGGAGGAAAACCATTGAGATCTGAGCCATGAAAGAGGGTCTTCCTAGCTGACGTAGTTACAAAGGGTAGTGACACAAGCTATGCAACGGCTATCGTCTGACAGATTCTGGGTGGCTCGGGAAAAGCTCTGAAAAATCAGAATTTCCACTGCTAACTTATGTTATAACCTCCCTTTTTTGTACAATCATAATATCAAAAATTATTGTAGCAACATCAGTTTTTAACTGGATTGCCTTAGCTCTAAATTGGCTACCTGGCCTGGGCAAAGTACAAGCTGAGCTGCTCCTGGGCAGGAAATTCCTTTGACTGAAGACAAAAGGCAAGCTCCTGGACAGATAAGACCCTGGAGCATCAAGACTCCTGGAAAACTTCTTTGGTCTTTTGACAAAAATCGATTCTTAACATAACTCTCAGGGCATAAGGACCCATGGACAATTTCCTAACATTATCAACACAGGCTTTGCTTAATGCATAACTATGTGACTTCTTAATTTACTCTTTTCCTAAAACAATCACTAACTACTCTCTGCTAGTCTTATTTAACCTCTTCCTAAAACAAACACTAGCTACTCTCTGCTAACCTTAAGTTAGCCGTTAGTTTCACTTTAGGCTATCACTAACGACTCTGCTAACACAATTTATCTCTTCGCTAGGACTCCTAAATCCTTTGCTAACAGCTCATCCTTTCCCAGACCCTTATCCTTTAAAGTCATAGTTAAACATCCGTATACATGAAAGTTATCACAAAGATGTATAGTATAGTGTGCCATAAAGTAGCAGAAAGAGGATGCATTGTTCCCCCTTTTCCTTTAAACTTTTATGCCGATTTCTTATTAACTTACCTGATGCATTATTGTAACTAAATCTTGCTAAACAGTATAAATAAAGAACTGCAAAAAGATGAGCAGGAAGATTTGCACCCAACTCCGGCTCCCGTGTCTTCCTCACTACCACTCCTCTCCCCCTATTGGAATCTCTGCACGCCGACGCCTTCCCATCTTAGGGTCCTGCCTGTGTTGTCTCCAGACACCTCAAAAGTTGGAGTTGGTCTCCGACAGGATAACATATTTATCCCAACACTCTCACCTACAAAGATCTCCCACAGATACAATTCCAAGAAGTATATGCTCAGAGTTAAATATTGCTTGCTCAGTAAAGAAGACATAACAAGTGGAAACTGTAGGGACTAAAATCAATCCCATAAAGATTTTAGATATTGAAATTCCTAGAAATGTGACACATAAAAAACATTTCAGGGTTTGAAGAAATATGAGCAAGAAGCACTATACCACTGCAAACGTGAAGTTTTGAAAAGAAAATTGACATAAAATCTGATAAACCATAAAGTAGAAATTAAATATTGTAAAAATACCTGACATATTGAATTGGAATTCCAGAAAGATATTAAAAAATATGTAGAAGATGTAATATTCAAGGAAATTTACAGATTTCTGGGATTTCTAGATGTAACTTATTAGAATGAGAAGAGAGAGATCACTAATATACCCAATATACTGAAACTAAAGAAACTTAGAAACTTAGAAACTAAATCTAAGAAAGTTGACACAGCAGCCAGAAAGTACCTAGCAGGTGAGCTAATATTCTTAAATAGCCACAACAGAAGGCAGAAGACAGAAGACAATTAAATATCATCATTATACTAAGAAAATAATAGTGATCAAGAATTAAAGGCAGAATTTATGCTTGCAGAAGAAGGCACAGTAAACATTTTAAAACAAAGACATCTTTCACAAATGAACCCTAATTCAAGAAAATTCAAACAATGTTCTTAAGCAAAAGGAGAAGAGCCCACAGGGAAGGGAAGAGCTGCAAGACAGAATCACTAGCAAGACACTGAGAAATATATAGTAAAACATTGATTAGACAAAGCAACAGTAATAATGTTTGGTGTTGAGGGGGGAGATTTAAAAGAGAAAGAGAAATATATAAATGCCAATGAGAGCTCTCTCTGTGGCATCCTGTCCTCACCTTGTTAGAGTCTTGCAATCAAATCAATTTTGGTTGATTTAGGCAGAAAAGAAACACAGGGTGATTACTAGTGTGCTGTCTTAACAAAAGATTAGGCACAAGCTTTTAATGGAA